TCTCTCTCTCTCTCTCTCTCTCTCTCTCATACACACACACACACACACAGCCTTATTGCTGCTTGTAGTGTCATGCATTGATCAATTGTTGATGCAAGTAAAAGCCAACCACTGCCCCGAAGGGTATAGCTAAACCCTGAATGAGTTGCTATGTTTGAAAAGAGCAGTCAAATGCAACCCACGTGGGTGGAAACCAACGTATCTACCCACATGTGTAGATATCCACATGGGTATCTACCCATATTTGTCAAAGGGTCATACTTCTGATGGATGTCAAATACCACTGCTTCACAAGAGTACCCGACTTGGCACCCACTGATCGGCATTGTTCCCCGTACACAATGCCCAGTTACTGTGACTGTATCTAGCATTGAGTCTGGACAGCCGGCTTCCACACATTGACAATGAATGGCTGTTGAGAGTAATCAAGTTCGTTGATCCATATCGAATACATATTGAATCAGTAATTATAAAAAAAAGAAGAAGAAACACTGGGACTGTGGGACATGCAATATGACCCCACTTCAAGGTGAAAACATACAGTCACGCTCATGAAGAAACACTGGGGCCGTGGGACATGCAATATGACCCCACTTCAAGGTGAAAACGTACAGTCACGCTCTTGCCCAAGTACAGTGGTGACCTACAAGTCATGGGATCGAAAGACATCGTATTCTAGAAACAAAAGACAGCATGGCTCGCTAGACGTTCTGCTGCCCTACGCTCTGTGTAACATAGGAGCAGGTCCCACCTGGTGCTCTGCTAGTGCTAAGAAAGCACGAATCTGGCTGCTGTTACAAACTGGGCTCATGGTTTCTAAGTGCAAGCATAGCACCAATGGGGCCCACCCTTTAACACAAAGATGGCATAAAGCGTTGAGGACTTGTGTACGTACGTGAACCCCACACAGTTTTTCCATCTCACCACATCGTTTTTCCCTATTCGCTACGAAACCCTCCCACTTACCCTCTCCCTTTTGCACATTTGTGACCAACAATCCACTAGCTTTCCCCGTCCAGACAAACGTGTGCATAAACTAGGAAATGTGGAGATTTCAGGGAGTCCCACAACGCCGAAATCTCGTTCAGAAGCCCAACGAACAGGCCATGAAACCGACAACGAAAGAGAAGCTTGAATGATGAAAAGGGAGAATTTTGCGATCAATGGAGCAATCAATCCATGCACGCAGAATATCAACTGCCCTGACAATAGCAGCAATAAGGTCATGTGTGTTGTCATGATACCCGATATACACTAAAAAAAAGCATGATTGTGCCAGACTGTTTCATCGGACTTTCACCGAGTCATCAGGAGGTTGAACCCCAACAGTCTGTGCCCAGGATGCATTTGACTCACCACATCACCCAGAGTTAGCAATACCCCTGAGAAAAGTGGTAGACTTTACTCACACCGACCTTGTGTGTGTGTGTATTGTGTGTTCTTTCGCACAAACGACTTTCGCTTCAGTCGGAAAGTGAAAGGAGAAAATCCAAAGCAATCATCTTTGAGCCAGAGGGCCTCTACAATCAGTCAGAGAGAGAAAGGAGAACTCCCAAGCTCAAGAAGACGGGGGCGAGGGGGGGGGGGGGGGGGGGGTTAGAGAGGGGGGTCATTCTGTAGCCTTCTTTCGTTTACAAGCGAAACAACAGCCATATCAAAAAGGAACCGAGGAAGGAAATTTCACAGCTGAACATCAAGAACACTTCCCAACCGAACAGCCCCACGGGCCGTTAAAAGTGGGGCTGGCTCCACTACACAACACTCTACATGCATTCGGACACTCTGTGGATCCGATGCATTCAAAATGCTGCACTCGTCCAAATGCACCTGGTTCCAAAAGCGACAAAATGCACGTGGAGTGTTGTGTAGTGGAGCGAGGCCCCGTGGTGATTCACAGAAAAAGTGAGACACTCATTGCAATATGGAGAATTTAGGAGGGAACTCTGAAGAAAGTGAAACTCTGTGCAAGGGATGACAATTATGAGATACAGACCTGAGTTCCAATCCTGATGGGTACCGACCCGAGTTCGAATCCTGATGGACCTTCACGAATGGAATTAAATCAATGTGAATTACCAGGTCCGGTCAGATCAATGAAGACATCCAAAGATCGTCGCCCTTTAAGAATAATAAAAGAGGGAAAGAAAAACGAAAAAGAATTTAAAAAGCAAGCCTTGGGGCTTCACACAATTTGAAAGTGTAATGGAAAAAGTACCGTCTTGTGAAATACAACGAAAGACAGTTTCACAGCTGAACAGCCTGAGAGATACTTGAGAACATTTCACGGCAAAAAGTGAGACGACAAACATCGTGCGATTTCAGGAAGACGCCAGGGAGTAGAGGGAACTCTGAACTGTCATCCACACAAAGGCTACATGACGAAAGAGTAATTATTAACTCATTCTGCGCATGTTGTGTGAATGAGAGGTGAAACACTTACCCCTTGTATTCCCTCTCTCTCAAGCATCGTACACGAGCTCAAGTAAAGCTGCATGGCCGCGTAGTAGCGCTTTTCTTTTACAAGCTTCTCTATCCTCGCAGGCACCTACTGCCACATTCCAGAAACATACACAAGCAAATAAAATCATCGGTCTCAGAACCCAAATTGCCCCCAAAAGATGGTTAAAAAAAATAGGTTACAAAAAAAAGGAAGGTCAAAAAGAAAAGTGAAAAAGAACTCTCACAAACAACAGCTTATCAAGCTCCTGGTATTTGCGAAGACAGCACAAGCTTCTGATATTTGTGGAGAGAGACAGCATGAGCACTGACAGCCTCCCTGCCGTGCTATTGTCCACTCACGCTACGGTCGCAAATGCCTACCACGCTCCTATCGCCCCCGTCACCCGGTACACAAAACAGGACAGCGAAGCCGGAGCAAGAGACATAGTCAGGGGTCTGGCAGATGCCACATCATTGTGTACCAAGCGACTGTTCGTTGTCTTCAGTCAAACACAGTGCAACGTGCGGTCATTATCGCCCAATATAGACTGAAGTTGCCCCAAATACAGCTATACTACTATAGTGACTGTATGTTCTATTCAGTGGACGATGGCAGCACACTTTTGTCCCCTCCAAGGGCTTCCTCGCCAATCACAATCAACCCCTCTGCAACTTCAATGCCAACAATCTAAGCACCACACTTTGTCAAGACCTCGGTCACGTCACCGCGCCAATCTAGCGACATCAGCCACAACAGCCGCAACATACAGCGTGAAGCCATGGCGGCTGCGCCCCGTCATAAAAAGTACAAAAAACTGTTTTCCAAACTTTTTCAGGACACTAGATCATGTTGATTATATTTCGATGTACAACAGTCGTGAGAAGGCAACTGCTTGGCAGTGCTTGCTCTGGTGAGTGATGAGATAGAGAACGAACCAGAGCTACCGTCTTCACCCGAATAGAACGCCCGGTCATTATCGCTGCATCTGGACTGAAAGTTGGGGCAAATGCAGCTAGAATGACCGGGCGTTCTATTCGGGTGAAGACGGCTCAGTTAGTGATGAGAGAGAACAAACCATAGCTTGGCGAGTGATGAGAGAGAGAGAGAGAAGGAAACATAGCTCTTGAGAACTGACCTTTGCAACATTGTCGATCTGGTCAAGGAGCTGGATCATCTGCCGCAACATGATGGATCGGTACCATTGCTGCTGAAGCTGGGAATGCCGTGACGACAGCATCCGTTTTGCCTCGGCCAAGTTCGTCTTCAAGCCGCTCATCTTTGCAGAACTCTCAGAGAATAATCGAAGAATCTGCGAATTGTTATGGATTGCTTTGTGGAACCCATTGTGATACCCTCTGACAACTTCATCAATCTGATCTTCAATGGCATCTCTTTGTTCCTGCACAAAGTGAGAGAGACAAATGCTCCCTGTTTGTTAACCGACAAACCAATCGCTTCCGCGCGCGGAAAACAAGTTCTTCCACCTTTCGCCAAATTCGGAAAAAGTGCAAAAAGGACAGATCCAAATTTCAAACTGCAATTAGGAAACAACAACTATACAATATATATTATTCACCAATCTGCTGTTTTCAAAATTGGACCTCCTTGTTTCTGCACAGTTCTTCAATAACAATAAAGAATAGAAATAAATCGGATATCGGGACATCCATTAAAATTTAAAATGGGAACGTTACGACACAGAGAAGATTATCATGGCCCCTGCGCACAGATGGCACACATCAATCGAGAAATGGTCCAAAACACTCAGCGCAATCAATGCTGCCAGGATGGGGGAGGGTTATTTTCAGTACTGCCAACCTACACCTAACTGTTGGAGGGGTTGTGTCTGGGATGCTGGACCCGCTTTCCAGCAGATGAAGCTCCCCACCAATAGATTGACGCATCGGGGAAGGAGAATACTATTGACGCATCACATGAGTCCAAGGGCCAGGAACAGCAAATCAAAACACACATGGAGTCATGCTTGCGCATCTTTAGCAAAACAACACCCTCAAGTCGAGCACGGGTAACATCAACAGCCTGACACCACTGACATCATCGATGCAGACGTACAGTCATGTTTCAAACACACCCTCTCAAGTCGCAAGGCCCTCCCCTCCAATGTGAGCAAAATCCATGGACAACAAAATGCGGAACAGCTATGAATTCGCCCTCCACCTTTGAGTCTTCGATGAAGAACGTGGAGCACATGCAACTCCGTAGCAGCTATGGCTGAACACTCCGAGTTTACACACTCTCCAGGCAAGCTTCCTCTTACCCCCAAGCCTTGGACTCTACCTAAAATATCCCCTCTCCTCTATCTTGTAGCTATGGTGCATCAGCACACAACTTGTGAAGCAGCCCGCGACCTCTTACGGGCCGCCGGCATACCTTTGATCCGTTGAGCGAGAGCCCTTCCAGTCTGACTTTTTATCACTTTTATTTGTTTGTTACCACTTGTGTTTCAATTTCTTCAGGTCTGTGTTTCAATATAAAATACGGGTTAACTGTAGGACGCTTTGATCCGAAAGTGACTCCAATTCGCACCAGCAAGTTAAAATCCAAATTCGTATCAGTTTCCAATAGGCACTTCCAAAGCTCCGGGAATTATTTCACGTAAATCTGTGCATGAACCAATGCAAACAGGATTAAAAGCGGTGGATAGCCTTCGTACCACCGTGGAGTTATTTCCCCAGTTCCCACGATCTCGACCTTCTACAGGCTATGGCTACCACTCTCTGTCACTTTCGCCATGGCAGCCTCCTCACTGTGTCTGCCTTCTCTCACACTCACTGTAGCGTGTCACTGTAGCCGCGCACTGTAGCACCTGCAAGGCAGAACAAAGCCATGAGCTGGGCAGCCTGTCACTCTCTCTGTCTGCCTTCTCTCACACTCACTGTAGCAGCGCACTGTAGCAGCGCACTGTAGCGCATCACTGTAGCCGTGCACTGTAGCATGTGCACTGTGGCGCGTGCACTGTAGCACGTGCAAGTCGAACAAATCCACGAGCTATGCAGACCACTCTTTTGAAGTTTTTGCTCGGCCTGGCCTGCCTCGATTTGCCTCCTCGAAGGGCTGCAATTTCCCGATATGTTCGGCCGAGATTTGCTCGCGGCCAGTGGGTGCCTGGACCCAGCAGGCCTTGGAAACGTCTGGAAACTGCACCGAGCCTTAAGGGTGTGTGAGATCTGTAGCCGTGGTTGACGCCTGGGAAATCTTATAGACTCTTTGATTTCTGTGCCTGGGTAGAGCTTGACTGTTGACTTTCCTAGAGTCCAGTTAGTGAGTCTGGAGGCATGGGGACCCTAAGGCTTGACCCAGTACCTACTCTGGAGGCCTCATTTTGACCCTTGACCCGGTACCTATTCACCAAGCAACATTCTGATGCCTCTTCAGAGTAAGGGAAGTGACTTTTGGACCCTAGAACTGTAACCTGACCAAAGGCGTACGACCCCTAGTCAAGTCTGTACGGGTGTCACATCAGTTCTAGAGACGTATGAGAGTCTGTAGGACCAACTGTGGACTCCTAAATTTTGCTAGGTCAAAAGCTACGACCCTTAGACTTTGGACCTCAGTTCTACCCCATCCCTTGACTCTACAGGGGTCTGCATACCATAGGTCTTTCGCTGAGATACGTGCTAGACCTTGTTTCTTTCCCAACGAAAATACAAGTATCTTCTCCTCATAAATGGGGGACAGCTGTATTTTTACTACGCTATTTCCTTCTCTCAATTCATCATCACACTAGCTACCCATCCAACCGGGAACGGCATCAGAGAGCAATCCATATCTATGCGCAAACGGGAACAGTATAAGACAGCCATCCGAATCTTTGCACCAGGAACGCAGCTTGCTAAGGGTTATGGGTTTAAGCCTCCCTAGTCCACCCAAGCCTATCTACCCGACTATACACCGGTGCAGATAATACATATGTACTCTACTCAGTGCGGGGATTGAGGGCCATTCTGATGGACTCTGGGACCCTACAGTGCTATTTCTGATGCCTAGCCTTGACTCAGACTTTGGATGCATGTTTCTGTGCTGGATTTGAACCCGGGTCATTGCAATAACTTATTCGATTACTACAAACAAAAAAGCTGGGGGGAAAAGAAAAAATAAACAATTGCTTTGCACACGTGGCCAACCTTCAGCAGATTCAATTGCCATACACTGAGGGCGTACTCACACTAGCACCATCCAGATTAAATGTACTTGACCGCATTTACAGCCGTACCTGTATGCATCTTGGCACAATTCCGTCCAGAAATAAGTAAAAAAGTGCTAGTGCGAGTATGCACTGAATCGTGTGACAACTAACGAGGGGCTGTGACAAACTGTTTCTCAGAGTTTCACAGACTCATCAGGAGGCTGAACCCTCAACAGTCTGCACGATCCCCTAACTAATTACACTTTGAGTGATGATCCACCTAACCCCTGTTGTGGTTAAGCATCAATGACTGCCCGGCCACTGATATACCCCTTTGAGGAGGTGGGCACCAACCCGTGATGAAAATCAAAGCAGACTATCACTCACCCACACCAGATGGAAAACTCTACAGACTGTCGGTTCACACCCCATCACAAGTGTCGTCAAACAGAGCTGCCTGGTAAATCGTAGGCAGAGAGGGAGAAGAGGACACAAACGAGGGGCTGTGACAAACTGTTTCGTCGGAGTTTCACCAACTCATCAGGATATTACCGGGCAGCATATTGTCACATAACTACAAACTAAAAGAGCGCACTTTCCGGAACAAAGAATAAAAGCAAAAAACGGGCACAGTGATAACATGCAAAAATAAAAATAAAAACAAAAACAAAAAACAAGGGCA